ATAAGAATAAGACATTTCTGTCACGTAAATCTTGGTAATAGCAAAAGAAAAGGCTAGGACCGCTACAAGAAACTGCCACAAAATAACCATTACGGCGCCAATAATCTGAAAGAGCGCGATCTGGACCGACCCCGTGTTCCTTCTAGACTCCATGATGTGACCAAATACTCTGAGGGCTAGGACCATGGTATCATTTGAAGTGCGAATTTCAGTTATTGAGATCTCGCAACAACGGCTTTAGAGAAGGAAAAGATTTTACACTGTTACGTCGTCAATAATCCATTATTTCAAATCTGAAAGAGCGCGATCTGGACCGACCCCGTGTTCCTTCTAGACTCCATGATGTGACCAAATACTCTGAGGGCTAGGACCATGGTATTTAAGCCGTAAAAGTATCCAGCTACTGCTAAGAGGCGGTTCTTGGAAACACGACGGTCTTCGGCCCATGTAATGAATCGTAAAACCAGGACAACAACGTATACGAGCAGTGTAATCAAATCAAGAACATTCCACCAGTCACTGTGAAAACATCAGTTTCAATGTTTCATGAATAATGAAAGAATTTCCAAAGACAAGAGCATTTCACAAGTAAAAAGAAGAGTTAAATAGAAAGCAGTGTGAATTGATCGGTCAATAAGATGTATAGAGTAAAMAACACGTGTTACCTAAAATATCTGGAAAATTTTCTGGAAAGAAAYTGAAATATGGTTTTGCCACTTGGCACGGTCGGTTGACTTCCATCGCTTTTCATAGGCACTTCGTTCAGTAACGAGCAGTTTTCACGCCGATCACTGTTTTCTGGCGCATATCTCTTTAATTGCAGAGAGGGTTTACGGAATTTACTGCCCAGTTGTTTTTCCGTAATGGCCTGGTATATTTCCATTAAAAGTCGTCCAAGGAAGACGGACAGGATAAYCCATTCCACAGTCATAAATTTAAGAGTTGGTGCATTAACGCACACGATACAATGAAGCACAAGTAACGCAAGATAGCTCAAGATGTCACGAACAAAGATGAAGTAAGGTGTTTTGAAATACTCCAGATATCGATCTGATAACAGATAGTCATTTAATGAGATTCTAATTGATTTTTTAACAACAGCTAAACGCGCGATTGCAAAAAACCCTACTGGGAAACGACATTATCGCCACTGCTGTTACGCGCAAAATTAGGATTTAATATAAAATGTTTGCTGGGCATTCATTGTATTGCCTGCCATCAACTTTTTAAGGCGAAGCCTCAAGGTTTGATGATCTCTCTTTCATGCAGAGCTGATTTCAATCACAAAAATGTTTTCTTGTCATTCATTATATTGCTTGCCAATCAACGTAAATAATTAAGGCGATCGATGATCTCTCTTTTATGCAGAGGTTATTTCAAATAAAAGCTAGCCAATCACAGGTCATTAAAATAACAGATAACGGAATTGATTGATTCGTTTATTTATTAAAATGTTGGACAGCTAAAATACTACATGAAAGTGAGATTTTCTATATATTTTAAGCTAGTGTTTTGGACTGAAAACATCTGTAAAGGGTTTTTTAAAAAAGTAAGAGAATATAAACCAGGCTTCCGGGATGCTATTTTTTTTAAACACGACCTGTCAGAACAACGCTTGTTTGGAATTATGTTATTCTATATAGAATCTAGTGCCGCTCTGTCTTGGATAACGACCGTGTTTATATTGCGAGTACGAAGGCTAGGCGTGGCTTTTCACTAAATCTCTCGAAAAAGACAGAATAATCACTGGAAAAAATCGTTCACTTTAAAAGGTTGTAAATTTGATTTAAATATTACATAAGTGTCCAAAATGATGTAAATTTGATTTAAATTTGATGCTTAAATTTGATGTAAATTTACATCAAGTTTACATCATTTTGGACACTTACATAATATGTACATCAAATTTACAACCTTTAAAGCGCGCGATTTTTTCCAGTGAATTTCATACATAAAATATAGAACGACTGCTAGTTTCTCTGTATTCTCTGATATAAACACAATGAGAGAAGTTGTTCCAATGCTTGCTTCTAAATGTGTTTATGATAAAACAGACACACTCGCGGTCACTGTTATTTCTTAAGTTAAGACTGTATTGAATTTACCGTAGATATCATTTCCATGTATACCTGCAAAAAAACACAGATGGTTACGTTGATCAACCACAAGTAACGTTTGTAATGAAGATAATAATCAACTGTCTAGTAAGAAGAATAGTCATTTAATTTGTGTTCCTTAATACTTGCATGCCATATTTTATGTGTTCTCAGCCTTGAGGTGAACAAAGAAATGGTGATGTATACATTTTTTTGGTTAAAATTCAATAAATTAAAATTGAATTACAAACCACAGCGTCCATGAAACAGCCCTTTTTTATGAAAGGGTCACATGGTGCTAGACCCGCCATGCCGGATTGATACCTACTGGGATGTTCAAAACAAAAAGTAACTGAAGTTCAACGTGCTGCGTTCCTTTTGTTTTTGAGGTTGTTTGCATTATTTTCCATCCAGTATGCAAGATTTAGTACCATTTGACCGTTTCATGTAAAAGGCCTATTGAATTCCTGCATTTAGACTTTACACCGGGATTATGTCTAATGTTCCCCGGCTAGTATGATGTTGATAAAACATGACCGGTTTCTCTTCCTATTGCCTTTGATTGGTCATTTACTATCTTGTATTTTTTATCATTATCATTTTATTTTGTACATCAAACTTATTAAAGCGAATCTTGATATTACCGTAAATTCGACTGATAAATCGAATGTATTTTAGTAATTATTCCATGCATTATTTAACTTACAGCTAACTTACAACTAACAACAGCGGTTCTGTTTTACTTTATGCGTATTCAATGTGGGATGACAAGAGTGCTTT